TTTTCAAACGGATAATTTTGTTTTCAATAAAAGAAATAAATTAGATAATTTCTGAGCTCAAATCTGCCATATTTCATAAGATATTAATGTTAATATGTAATTCTGGTGAGTTTGAAGTGAAAATTTGTTTCAGTTTTTTAGAGATATATTGTTAAAAAAGGTGACATGGTTGCTAGATTTTGAATAACTCGCTTTTTTGGCAGTCTTGATATGGCCTCTTTCCATAAGTTTATTACTGTTTGTTCTTGTTGCAAGCTGTGCACCATCTTACGTTAGTGTTAACACTTTTAGCATTGTAAACACCAGTATTGTTAGCATTGTAAACTCAAGTAATAAGTAATCAAATACATTGTTTGCAAGAATCTCAAAGCACAATGATGCCAAATGGCTTTAAAATACAACGGAAACAGTAATCCGGAAATTTAGGCGGTAGCGAGCTTGCAGCGTTCCCTAGTGTAGGAAACACCATCCATACGAATGAGTACCTTTTCTCCATTAATTTAGCTTTTTAACACAAATTTATATATTTATTTCATTTTGTACCTACTACTGAAAATAATTGTGGTTCTCGAAAATAATTAGTAACGTCACTATTATCCTAAGGAATATTTTCGATGAGCTAATATCAATACTTATTTCGAAGGTTACAAAAAAAAATCATCAACTAACTAAACTAATGGTTAACTGAATGGCTAAAAATACTACTGGTATTACTGTTACAAATGCTGGGATAATAGTTTTTAATGCTGTTTTCCGAAACGGATAAAACCCTAATATCATCTTACTACATATACATATAATACGTATATAACGCTTTTTAATTATGTGTTGTATGGATGATAGACTGAATGTAAACGATAACAAGTCTTTCTAAAACCGGAAGAAATTTAGAAAACTCCCGGTGTATCCCTCCGCTAGTGTTATGCTTACGAGGCGATATGTGAACAGGTTTAATATTCTAAGAAGCTTTATTAATGTGATTAATGCTTAAATTTACGTGTAATTTTATCATTCATAAGAGTTTCCAGTAATTTATAAATTCTAAATGGCTGTGAGACTAAAGCAAATTTAAGAAAATTAATATCACAACATAAATATAGTGTAAGGTTTGCCTTGTTTTGAGTGTTATCGCTTACTTGGCTATATTTGTGGCAAATATCAACGTTAGTTGTTTTTTGGGTTGCATCTTGAAGGGCATAGCATGCCAGCGAAATCCTCCAAATTCTTATGTTGTTTGTTTCATTGAAACTTAAAAATCGCGTTATACTGTAAACACTACATGTATAATAATTTTTGATGGCACACTTTTTCTAGCTTAAGCGTAAAAATCAATCGGAAGTAGTAATCCGGAAGTCTTACTGCTAATTTTAACCCCAAGGGCCATCTGTGCTTAACTCTACACGGTCAACCATCCTATTCGGATGACTCATCGGATAGAGCGTTCGCCTTCCAATGAGGTGAACCGGGTTCGAATTCCAGCGAAGGCTAGTCGATACGAATTTCGCATCCGGTTTGCACCGACCATAGTGCTTTAGTAAAATATCTTCAGTGGTAGATGGATTATGGGTAAGAGTCCCTTTGCCGACATGCTAACCATGGTAGGTTTTCGTGGTTTTCCTCTCCATGTAACGCAAATGCAGGTTAGTTCCATCAAATAAAGTCTTCCGTGAAGGCTAATTTCTCCAAAAATGTAATCCTTGCCTTCTGGATAGAGTTTAAAATTTTAAAATTACAAGGTTACGGAGTTGAACGTTAGTAGTCGCAAACCTAAAAAATTGGTTCGGCAGTTTAACGACGGTATTATATATATATCTTCAAACCCCGCTATAGTGAACACGGTTTATAGTGAACTCCCGGGTATAGTGAACGAAATGTTCTGTCCCGTGCCTTACTATACACGTGTAATGTTATTTTTTGTGGATATAGTGAACCAAAAAAGTGAGGATGAGTGAGGATGTTGGATATAATGAACTTTTTTCTGTCTTCGACTGATTTTTTTCTTCTTTTTTTCGTAATAGTTTTGAAATTTCTACTTCAAAATTCGACAGATTTTTAAAACCATCTATAGCATGGAATGTAGCGATAAGCATTTTTTCTTGTTTGCTTCTTTTATCTCACTTTCTCATCCCTAAACAAACCAAGCAGATGTTTCCAACCCAGGCAGATAATGCACCAGTAAGGTGTCAGTGGGATCAATATGCATTTTCTGTCAGAGAGTAATTATTCGTTATTGGTCAAAGGGTTGGACACTAATATGAGTTGATAAGGCCCTCATTTCAACTCCTTTTTGCTCTTAGTTCAGTTAAAAGAAGTCTGCAAACAAGTGTCTCAAATTTAACTATGGCGACCAGTAAGCGTAAAACGTTCTCCATTGATGATAAAATGGGCACAATCAGAAAAATTGAAAATGGATGCAATCAAGTTGATATTTACAGGAAATATAAACTATCCAAACCTGCCGTTTGTAACATATGGAAAATGGGCAATTAATTATGCCCATGAAAAAAATTTCGGTGGAAGAAAAAAATTGAGAAAAGCAGATCACAAGGATGTTGAAGAAGTATTACTGAAGTGGTTCACCATTTGAAGAAGCCGCAATCTTCCAGTATTTGGACAAATGTCGATGATAAGCGGTTTTATGAGACTACTTTTATGTGCTCGAATGGCAGGTTAGACAGGCTTAAAAAGCGGAATAACAGAAATTCAGGAAAAATTATCTGAGAGTCAGGAAGTGTTTCCATATCTGATGTTAAGGATAGCTCATCAGCTAAAAATTACTAATTTTTTTTTGCACGCAAGGCGCAGAGTAATAAAAATTAATACATTTTTTGCTACTACATAATATTCCATATCTGATGTTGAGGATTGCTCATCAGCTAAAAATTACTAATTTTTTTTTTGAACGCAAGACGCAGAGTAATAAAAAATAACACATTTTTTGCTACTACATAATATTTTCCAGTCATTTATTGGAATAATGTGTAATTAAAGGGAGGATTTTGAGAACCATTAGTGAAATTGCCTGCGTAACGGATATAGTGAACTCCCGGTTATAGTGAACCAAAGTTTCGTTCCTTGAAGGTTCACTATAGCGGAGTTTCACTATAGCGAGTAAAAGAAGACATCCTATTTTGTTACAAATTCATACTATTAGATTTGCCATGATATGAATCAAAAGTTCAATTAACCAGAAGAAAGATTAACTATTCATGTAGTATTATTTAAAATATTATATTCAAAATTTATCACAATTATCAAATAGTTTAATAAATAACTTCAGTTTTATTTTATTAAATCTTGTTGTTTTCCAATGCTTAAATTTATAGAGACTCGCTTCAATTACTGTAAGTATCGTTATGAGAAACACATGATTTTATGACTATGCAGCAATTTTAAGTTCTGAAATTATAATATTATTTTTTTTAATTCAAAACCAAATTATCTGTTGGAAAATATCGCCTCACACAACAAACTGCAGTAAGCAGCGGTAAACTTTCAGAAGACGTGAAGGTACAGATCTCGAGATTTGCTTTTGTTTACATCCATCCATTGGTCGTTACAGGCAACTGATTGATCATTGATGAATTTTCAGTTTGCTAAGAAAAGGAAGTGACGTCAATTTAAACATCTCCATTTAATGGACTATGCTATCTGCTAAGCTGCAAGTTAATATTTTAAACAAGCTTGATTGAACTGAAGTTTGAAGAAAACCAAAACCGCAAGAGAATAGTGTTTTTGTTTGTGTTTATTCTCCTAAGAATTTTTATAGTATTGACAGATTAATTTTCTATAATTATCAAATCGAGAAAAGTGCTCATGATGTTTTCTTAGTTGATGAGTTTCTTTAAGTGTTTTTTTTTTTTATCTTCAACCATGTAAATTTAATAATTTATCATTCTTTATATAACTTGTCTCTCAGTTTACTAATTTTATATTATGCATACCAGTAATATTTATTTTGATTTGTATTCTTGCATTGATAATTCCGACTTACGGTTTTTTACTTACTGACTGAGGAATTTATTGATAAATGTGTACATGTTTAAAAAAAAGTTGTTAAAAATGTAGCTAAGTTAATCAAGTAACTTCAAATTTGTTAATATATTTTATTAATTTGTTTAACTTAATGTCGAATTTTGATTGATGTTTTAAATGTAATTTAATAATAAGAGTTACCTTACAATCATTTTATTATTTATATTTATGTATTACTTGTAATAATGACATTAACTTTTAATAATAGATGCTAGAATTCAACGAAATTAGAACTTCTAAATAATGCTTATTTTGTAAACTTTTATGATATATTTATCGAAGAAAAATAAATCTTCGTAGCTGTATTTCTTAGTTATTTACCTTCTTCACCAAAACATGGACTCTATTTCCCCAAACTGCACTACTTAACCTTTTTACGTTTGCACCAGAAAATGAATAAATTAGGTGACATGGAGCTTTTGCAGCCCGCTCCAAGTTGTTCTGAGGATGAAACTTAATTCAGGTTGAAACTTTTAAGCTGTTTTCATCTTTAAAGAAAAATAGAAATTTTTCTTCCTTCTCTCTTTGTTATAAATAAACGATTTTTTTATAGAATTAAAATGTTTTCGAAACAAATTTTTCATTTTAATACGAAATATATTCTAACACTGCACCAACAATAAAAAGGTTTTGATAAGGCTACTATATAAATAACTTGAATTCCTTAAGGATACAAATGTTATTGTAAAAAAATAATGAGAGAGCCATTAAAAAATATTAATTTAAAATACGTGAAGAAAAATGAAAGTTGTATGAAACTAAATTTATTCCTTTCTTATTAAAGGAAACAATGTTTTCTGACAGAAAGTAAGAAATTATAATTAACATGGTAGACCTGAATGACATTTTGAATTATGTCTGCAAAAATTTAATTACCAGCAAATTCATTGAATTATCAGCAAAATATGAATTTCATATTTTGCTGGTTTTTCATTTGACATTCCATAGAATGACTGGGAAATGTCTAAAATAAAAATTGAATTATACACAGCTCTCCCTAGGAATAAAAGAGGATAGTGGATACTCACCACTGTTAAAATTTATCAAAATATGTAATATTACGTAATAACTGAGTTTAATCTGCAATTTTTAGATTACCTTCTTATAATGTTTTATGTGTATATTTCTCAAAGTAATTCTCATTCATTATCAAAATAACAGAAAAATTTGGAGCTTTTGAAAAATAATTGAAGACAAGCTAAAAGACAATCTATGTGTATAAATTTTGTTGAAAAAAGTACGCTATAAAAATTATTAATTGATGAACAACTTTAAAGCATTTTCTGTAATTTAAGCTAAAAATTATGAGAAAATAAAAATTTAAAGGAGCATTTTTAAGTAAAACGAATTTATTTAAAATATATAATGGTAAAATTTAAAACCACTAAAAAATTCGTTAATATCTCCCTCCCCAATTAAAAAAATAACTAGACAACATAAGGAAAATCTTACTAAAATGAAGGAATCAAACTAAAGTTAAATAATAATCAGTCACTAAATAAATCAGAAGTGACTTTTCATCAAAACAAATTAATAATAAATGAAAGTTAAGAAATCAACCTTTTCCTGAAAAAATAAAGTAACAGTGTTTTTATGGGATGACAGTTTATTTTTACAAAAGAGCAATGAGGACGCATTTATAGTGATCAAGGGTAAGTGGGACGGATCGCCCTTCTAAAAACGTTAAGGGAGAACACTGCTTCATACACTTCCCATAGTTTTAGGCATTGTATACAATATCCTAGGTATTCTATAGATTGCCAGATTTCAAACTTACCTGGTAATGTACATAATAACTTGAAGTTTAAAATTATTAATTCAGTATACTAATTACAATTTAGCTGTCAAAAGTTCTATGAGAGTGAATAGAATTTCTGATATAAAACATAGATTTCTAAACTTTTCGAAGTTATGGTACCGTTACTCATATATTTGTCTGCAGTGCATTAATAATTACAGTTGATAAGCAACCATAATAAAGGGAGAGATGGCAGGGACAACAGGCATGGGGCCCTGGCTGTTGGTGCATTCTTTGAAACTCATGAAATGCTTCTATTTCATTGCATATTAGTTTTTCTTCATAAATATTTAAATATCTTGACAATGTTTAATAATTTTATTGAACGAAGTCTTTACATTTAATACATATTAATAAATACTGTCAAACCCCGCTATAGTGAACACGGTTTATAGTGAACTCCCGGATATTGTGAACGAAATTTTCAGTCCCGTGCCTTGCTATACACGTATAATGTTATTTTTTGTGGATATAGTGAACCAAAAAAGTGATGAAGTTGGATATAATGAACTTTTTTCTGTCTTCGACTGATTTTTTTCTTCATTTTTTTGCAATAATTTTAAAATTTCTACTTCAAAATAAATACATATACCGATTTTTAAGACCATCTATAGAGGGGAATGTAGCGATAAGCATTTTTTCTTGTTTGCTTCTTTTATCTCACTTTCCCATCCCTAAATGAACCAAGCAGATATTTCTAACTCAGGCAGATGATACACCTGTAAGGTGTCAGTGGGATCAATATACATTTTCTGTCAGAGGGAATGAGTAATTATTAATTATTAGTCAAAGGGTTGGACACTGATCTATGTAGATAAGGCCCTTATTTCATCTCCTTTTTGCTCTCAGTTCAGTTAAAAAAAAGCCTGTAGACAAGTGTCTCAAATTTAACTATGGCAAGCAGTAAACATAAAGCGTTCTCCATTGATGTTAAAATGGGCATAATCAGAAAAATTGAAAATGGATGTAATCAAGCTGATATTTACGGAGAATATAAACTATTCAAATCTACAGTTTGTAATATATGAAAAAAAAAGGCAATTAACAATTTCTACTCATGAAAAAAATTTAGGTGACAGAAAAAAGTTGAGAAAAGCAGATCACAAGGATGTTGAAGAAGCATTACTGAAGTGGTTCAGCATTCGAAGAGGCCAAAATCTTCCAGTATCTGGGCATATGTTGACGAATTTGCTGTGCCATTTTGTGAGACTACTTTTATGTGATCGAATGGCAGATTAGACAGGTTTATAAAGCTGAATAACAGAAACTCAGGATCTGAGATTCGGGAAGTGTTTCCATATCTGATGTTGAGGATTGCTCATCAGCTAAAGATTACTAATTTTTTTTTTGTACGTAAGAAGAAGAGTAATAAAAAATAACACATTTTTTGCTTCTATATAATATTTTTCAGTCATTTATTTGAATAATGTGTAATAAAAGCGAGGAGTTTGGGAACCATTAGTTAAATTGCCTGAGTAACGGATATACTGAACTCCCGGTTATAGTGAACCGAAATTTCGGTCCCCTGAAAGTTCACTATATTTGTGACTGTATATAAATCAGCAAACATTTAGTTTTTAGCTAAAATAAGTACGAGAAAATATTGATTAATACTTTAATATATAATTAAAAAATTTTATTCCAACAATCAAAGTAAAGAACATAGTTTGAAAAGTATTTTTGAAAAAGCTTACAAAATATGAAAATTGGAATTTTCATATTTTTGGGAAAAGGCCTGTAAAAAATTTATCCTAGACCCTGTAAATTCTTTGTTCACTCTTGATAATAAGTATTTATAATATTAGGAAATATATCAATTATCTTTCATACTCAAAACAATTATAAATTCTTTTAATCCCAAGAACGATCTTCATGCTCGTTGCATAATTTTTCAAATCAAGGAATAAAGCTCAACATAGCTACTTGCACTGTTTTTTTAAAGCAATATTTTCATCTCTCTTTCGAGCAACCGTTAAAGATTCTGCATTTTTCTCTGAGTTTAGAGCAACAGCTAAATCCTAGCTTCTTACAGGTATAAAGTCCAAAATGAGCAAAACTGTACTTTCATTTTTAATAGATTTCCAAAATTCTATCAAATCAATATAAATAAATTTAGTTTTGAAATTTTTCTTACAACTATTATGCGTATAAAATTTGCTTCAGATAGGGACTACTTTAGTTTGGGAGTGAAGAAACTATTTTTCGACTTGTTATTAAAAGCTATTTGCTAAAAGTTAGATTAGTGATTTTGAAATCCAAAATCTCACTTTTCAAATCAAAATCTTTTAATCTCACTTTTCACTACTGTGCTGCAAGAGATATTTCTCTGCTAAGAATTGGGTAAAATTGCAGACATTTCAACAACGGTTGAGAAATTAGTATTTGTAAATGCATTAAAATAATTATTTAATGTATAATAATTGTAATTTATGTATTTTTTATTTTACAAATAAATCATGTAAATTATATATATATATATATTTTAATAATTTGCTTTTTTGACTGTAGAATAAATTCAAAAATGTATTCTGGCAAAGTTGAACTTGGTGATCTACCTCCCAGTATTGATATTAAGGATGAAAGTGTCTGCTGCATAAAACTAAATGGATTAAAAGAGAATGAACCATGCCACTTTAATTTGTCTGATGAGGCTACAAATCCGGAAACATCAGATGATCATGAAACTGTTCACTCATCTTTGTAAGTAACTTTATAAACTTTAAATTGTTAAGATTAATCATTATAAAAAAAGTGTTTAGCAATCATGGAAATTGGCTTTGAGTCATTCACAGAATATTATATTACCTGGTTATATTACCTATGTCTGTATTACCTGATATTACCTGATTATAGTATATCCTATGTTTAAATTATTGTACCTTTTGTGTAGGAGGTGTTGCTTAGGTGGGTAAAACTAGGACATGGCATTTTGGCATTTCTAACAGGTTTTGTGCCATGTATAAAGTATTCTTAGTTTTTAAAATCGGATTGTTGGATAAAGACATAACCATCTGTCAAACATGACTGAATAGTACAAAAAGCTAAGCTACTGGTGAAAATATAGGATAAGTGTATTCAGTGTTTCATGTGTACAGGATTGACCCAGGAAACCTCTGGCCAGGAAGAAAAGCATCCTCAAAATTTCATGTTTTGTTCTTAAATCTGATCAGCTAACTCAGTTTACTAAAAGTTAAAAAAATGTTTTATTTAAACTTACTTGTGTTCCTGAATCTATAAATCCCTCTAAGATAATCAATGTAGGAAGGTAATTTTACTTGTGTAATGTTATGAATAAATATTTCAGTTTAAAAAATGAGTATTTATTTGTTAATCTATATTTATATGTACTTGGTGATATCATTACAGGTTGGCTATAACCAGGTACTGGTATAATTTCAAAAAATATTAATTTACTTTACAGAATATGATTCTTTTCACATGAAATATTGTTCTTGAAACTAAAGGGCTAATATGTCATTGAATTATATATATATATATATATATAGCTGCTTAGGTAAATTAGAAGAAACTGAAGATTTCTGTTCAATTTTCTCCAATATCCATTGACAGATTTAAAAAAAGACTTGTTGTGGAATATCCTACACAGTATTACTATTTATCTGCTATAATTTGCAATTTGATTTTCTTTCATTTTTCATAAATGTATTTAGTTTTTGGATTTTTCAAAAATATTTTGTTGCTTTGAAGCTTTTATGCACTTAATATAATTTTTGCATTTTAAAATTTTTGTATTATTTAATTTTTTTTCTTATTAAGGTAATCTAGCAGTCACACTTTTTTTTAGAATTATTAAAAGTTGTGAAAGTAAATGATCAACTTCTTATTTTTAATCGAAAGTAGGCAAAATTTGCTACAAATATTGTTTTATATTTATATATACATACACACTAGCGTGCAAAAGTTTTTGGTCAACGCGTGAAGGACATTTTAACCTTTCTATGCGTTTTTTTTTTTTTTTTTGTAGAAATGATTTACGTTTTATTTAGTCTAGCCAACATATATATATTACACTTGATTTCCGAATTTTTACTTTTCTGGCAATTTAATGGAAAATTTTATCTTCTTTGAATTAAATTTGTTTAAATCTTTGAACTCAGTTCAGTTGAATATTTGTTTTTTTAATATAATTCGAGTTTTGTAAGAACTAATTCTTCAAAAATGAATGTCAATAATAAATTAAAGTTAAAATCATGATTTCCGTAAATAAATATGCAAAACTTATGCTTATTTGTTAAAATTGTATCCTTCAATTATATTTTCATCCAATACTTAGATGTAAAAGAAATCGCTTCACGAAAAACAAATACCTGACTAATATGAAAATTGCATTTGATTTAAAGTGACTTTCAAAGAGCTAACTTTGTTTTCTGATTGATAAGCATATAATGTTTAGGAATAAATTATACATTATTTATTACATTTCCAATCAACCATTTATAATATTGAGTTTGACCAAAGACTTTGCAAGTGTGGGTATATATATATATAGCATAATAAACAAAAACAAAAAAACATGAAGAAAATTAAGAAAAACAATAACTTTTATTTATTGCACATAACTGCAAGTAAATAGAACTCATAAAATAAGTTCAAAATGTAGAGAAAACAAGGGAAAAATTACAGAACAATGAAAAAAGGGAAGAAAGAAAAAGAAAAATAATAATAAAAATAACAAAAAACCGGAAAAAAAGGACAAAAAATTAAAATATTTTAAAAAATCCGGAATATAAAAGATATAATCTTTTCATCAGCTCACAGGATTATATCCGCTAAAAAGAGTGCTTTCTAATATTGCATCAATATAGCCAAAGCAAAATATATCAATACAATAGTGTGAGAAGCACTCAAGAAATTCTACAAAAGAATTACAAGAAATAAAATAGAACACAAGAAATAAAAATATCACGTAAAAACAGAAAATGAAATATAAGGAAAAAACAGAATAAAACATGAAATGAAATCTATAAAGCGAGCAGCGAATTCAAATGAACTTACGTGAGCGGGAAATTTTTCAAGAATGATTTAAAATATTTTCGTAACGAAATTGCCAGATTGCAAAAAAATGAAAACAAAAGCGTAAATTGAGCTAAGCGTAACCAAGGGAGTTTTGTATTAAAGTGCATTCTTGCTGCATTACAGAAGTGTGTTTAATTTGTTAGTTACCAAGAATGGTCCTGAAAATGGATGGTATTATACCTTGGTATAATACCAAGGTATAATATTACGTAGCGCACATCCATTTTTTTTCTGGTTTTTTGTTATTTTTATTATTATTATTCTTTTTTCCCCCATTTTTCCTTATTCTGTAATTTTCCCCTTGTTTTCTCTACATTTTGAACTTATATATATATATATAAACACTGCTACTTTGATAACTCATGTACAAAATTTATAGGTTAATCAATTTTTTATAGGTCTTATCAATAACGGAATATGATCAATTCTAAACCATTTGTTTAATATTAAAATAAGGTATGTAAGTAATGCCTGCGCATTTTAGACTCAAGAACAAAAATTAAAAAGTACGAAAAATTTAATTGTATCTACTCACTCACTCTATTCAAGAATGAACATAGTGAAGCTTATAGTTCAATGAATTTTTAACTGATTACGTGTTGGTACAGTAAACAGTACAGTAATTACCATCTCTAAATAACAGTAACCTCCAAAGAATGACCATATGTTTTATGGTACCAAATGTCTTCTATAAAATTTACATTATGCAAAGCCTCTGAACAGTGAACCATCTTTTAATCCCAGTCACAGCCCTGTAACGGACTGTTGTTCGAAGGTTTTACTGTATAGTAAATTTTAAATTCATGCAATATTGTTGAGTTGCATAAAACAAACTTAAAAATGTGTTTTATTTTATTATTTTTTTAAAATTTATTTATTTATTTTTGAAATGAAGAATACATATTTTTACGTGATTTTCTTTGTCCTACTCTGATATTTTATATATTGGAAAATTAATTTTTATTGTTTGTGAATTGTTTTACAGCTCAAGTGATAATATATTGCATACTTTAAGTGGATTTTATGCTACATTACTTGTTGTGGTTACTTCAATTGCTATATTTTCTGAATTGCTTCATGAACGTCTTGCATTGTTTTATATTCATGTGAGTAGTTTTTTTTTAAAATTACACTTTAGCTAAAATGGTATGTATCTGCATATCTTTGAATCTTTTTTTTCATTCAATTACATGGAGAAAAGCTGCTTTGCTCTTTCAAGAAAGCATCCAGGGGCAATCCCTTTATACTTTCCTGAAGAGCAAATGAGCTTTTAAAGTTGTGAATCAACAGTAGAATAGTCGAAGTAGTTTTTTCAAATAAGAGGAAGTGGGTGATATGAACCGTATTGTACAGTAGAGAACCAATTAACCGGGATGCTCGGGACCATCGCTATCCCGGATGTCTGAATTTTCTGGATTGGCCAAAAGTGCCGTTATTCAATGTTTTATCAAACCTAAATTACAAGGCAAAAGTTAAACATATTTAAAAATCGGGAAAAAACAAATAGATCTCTTAAATTAAAAAAAAATGGTAGAAAAATAACATTTAAAAGGATAAAAACATTTGCAAATTTAATGATCTTCATGGTCAATGATCTAATGATCTTCAAGGTCAGGGGAAGAATTGAAGTTCCTCTGGGCAAGTGAGGAGAAGAATTCCCCCCTTTCTCTCTACTCAACTTTAAAGATGAGTCAAATTTCTGCTTTTTTTATAATCCTTATAGTACTTTAAAATAGCGGGAAAAGCAAGCAAAATTCTTCCCGGTTATTTGGATACGGGATAAATGGTTCTCTACTGTACTTAGAATTTTAATTTTAAATTGAGCCTGAATAATTCAAAATGTTATTCAATTCAAATTTTTATTTACTCCTCACGGTGGAAAGAATTATCAAGTTACAAGCAACAAAACCACTGAGACTGTTACTCATTTTCATAATTTGTTATTTTTAGAGGGTAATAAAGTTAATTAAATTTTTGAAGAATGTGTGAATTTACTTATAATTGTTTTGCTTATTATACTATGTCTGGGTTGCAAAAAGAGTCAGGCTTTTTAAATTTCTAAGGTTGGCAGGACTGAACTTAAGCTTAGATTTTAGAAGTTGATATATAATTAATTTCTCATTTTTATGGTAAGCTGAACTATGAATCAAAGTATGTTTCTTTAAAGATTTTTAAAAAATTTTTCGTGTATTTATTTATTACTTTTTTTACCTAGACCAAGAAAATGAATTAATTTACAAAGAATTATCTTTAACTTGTGATTCCTTTCATTAAATTTGATAGGTCTGATGACATATATCTTGTGCATGAAACATTAAAATGTTCAAAACCTAAACATTTTATGAATACTGTTTTTTGAGTATATTGTTTATTATTCTAATGCAGTTAATTTTGATAATTTTTATTTTTTACTCTTCAACTTAATTCATTTTATCTCATTTATTATCATTTAAATTGACTTATTTGCCATCTACTCTAAGTATTTCACAACTAAGCAATGTAAGAATTATTTTAAATAATTTTAGTATAATTAATTTTAGTACTCATGTTTCTTTTTATAATTTATTTCAAATATATTTATTTATTCTTTAAAATATACTTGAATATTAGAATTATGCTGCAGAATAAATGCTGCCCAAATTAAATCTTGCTTTATTTAAGTATGCCAAAAATTGTGGTGCATATACCTGTAATGTGTGCAAAGTTACACTGTTTGTTTAAATAAAAAAGAAAGACTAGTAATTTACTTTTTTATTTACAATCAGTTGTATTCAATGAATCTGAAATAAGTATTTTTTTTCAATGTTTTCTTTTTTTACACTTAGTTTATTTAATTAAAATATTTATTTTAAATTACTGTTTTCTGAGTAGTTGGATTTGATGTTTCTGAGACTATTTTTTGAATACATGACACACTTATTAAGAACTGACTTGTCAACATACAAGCTATTCCTGATTTAAAAATTTTTACTATCTACTTCTTTTTTTACAGGCAGTTTGATTTAAATTCAAGCAAATCACCATTTAAATATACTTATTATTTATGAATATAACTAAGTAAATATAGTCATAGTTTATTGTATACTTAGTACAGTGATAAAAATGAAAGTACAGTGTGTTTCATGATACAGTCATCCCCACTTATTGCATATCAGATAATCAAATAATCAGTTTATATGAATGAAATTTAGTGGAACCAAATTATTTTATAAGAAACCAATGTTAAATCTCCTCATTTAAATAATTATTTATAGTTACCAGTCTTTGTTTAATTGCATAAAGAAGTGAAAAGAAAAATTCTTTAAAAAATGTTTCATCAGCCAAAATGGAAGATGGGAATTAGAGATGAGCTAAGAAGAGGAGAATAAGAGATGAGTTAAGAAGATAAGAATACAATAGGTGCTACTTCAATGGGGACTTTCTATTGAAGTGAATGTTAATAATATAATAGGGAATCCATTTCCTGCTTTAGATAAGTTTCAGGGAGGTTCTTTAAAAATTAATCAAATCTTGTTAGCAATTATATATTAAACCAAGAAGAGTTTACCTCTCTTTGATACACTTCATTTAGAATGTAGGAAGGTAAGAAACAGAGAAATGATCAGTTAAATGTGGGTAAACAGTCTTCAGTTAGCATTCTTTGGAGGGAAATAATAGTATACTTTTCATTAGTAGAGTACTGATTTATTTTTATGTAAACTTACATGTCATTTATATTTTGCGATTCTGACACTTAATAATTATAATTGTTTATTGATCATTAAAATGTCTTTATTCACTCAAAACTTAAAAACTTATGACTTTATTACTGACTATGTATTGCATACATTTTAAAATAAAATTTCGAAGAAAAATAGTATTTGAGATTGACTAATACACTCCCCTTATAATTCAATGACCTACTTATTGTAATACACTCGGTTAAAAGCAATAATTTTCTTTTAAGCTGGGCTGACTGCCCTTTAATTTTTTGCACTGTTGTGTAGCTTGTACAGTGATTTACTGAAAATGCTAACATTTAGTTAATTGGGAATTACTGCCTATATGTAATTAATTAGTTTAAATTAGTTTACAATTTTATTATTTTTGGTTAGTTGACAATTTTTTGTGTGCTATGGAGGAAAAACATTGAAATGTGAATTTCTTACATCATCCTGAGTTAACTTCATGTATTTAGACACCAAAGGGAATCAATATTTATTAATTATTCTTTGAATTTTGCATTTATCTAATTTATATAGTCATCTCTTAACCTTTTTATATTAGAGCAAGGTAAAAATTCAAAATAAAAAGATTCATAGAACTGAATTTTCTTCATTATTATTATTTGTTTTGCTTATTATTATTCAAATTGTATCTATGAGATACTTCTTAATTAATCACAAAAGTTTTTAGGTGTATTTCTGAAACTATTCACAATTTTTCCATGTTAGCTGATTAAAATTAATTTTTGATGTAACCTTGTCAAAAATTTTTTCATTATTTATTTTTTGTTTTTGTCTGATAGGTTAAAGCTGAAACAATTTTTTGCTTTTGAATCTTTTACCAAAACAAAATAGTAGTATTTTGTCATTGTTAATAAAATAAATTTTGCTTTACTCTATATATTTTTAAAATATGCCTTCTGTTGAAAATCCAGGTAAACAGGGTCGCTGAAAGCTTAGATCAATATAAATTTCTTTTTAAATCTTCAAAGCATTAAGTACAGGAATTTTCTTCCAATTCTCTTATTTCCTATTGAATGACATGGGGAAAAGTATGTTTGTTGAACAAGTTAATATTTATTATTAAATGTTATATAATGTTCAGTTTTGCTTAGTACATTCATTTTATTTTTATGTTTTTATAATTCATATGTATATTGCAGGATTATCTTTTTCTCTATCTTCTAAGTATTGGGATACTTCTGCTTATTGGAGCATTTGCTAACAAACTTCATGAGAAATGTTTTCGTGTAAACATAAGAGATTTAGTGAAAATGCCTCAATACTTGTCTAAAAAGTTAGTAGGAGAAGTTAAAAAATCAAATATTGATCAATGTTTTAAAGTTGGGATTTATAGTAAGTATTAAAATGTTTGTACAATTTTAAAAAAATAATAATTATGTTATGATTATTTAAAATCAGTAGTTTTTTGTAATATTTTGTGATAAAATTTAATGTTCGGTAAAAATTTCTGCAGACTTTTGAATTTATATATTGTGAAACTTTAATACAGATTTTTTATTTTTATTTTATAAGTTTCTTTTCACTATTTTGTTATTCTTTTTACAGAAATTCTTATTTCTTTGTATGTGACTATTTGCCACAAATTTTTATTTATACAGTAATGTATCCTTAAGATGAACTTAATAAAATAAAAAAGCATATGTTAGTTTAATTTCCCATTTTTTTTTTGTCAATCTTCTCCTAAAAAACATTACAGTGACCACCATTTATTAAAATCACTTTCACTCTGAAATCATTTGATTTTATAAATAGTTAAACTTTATAAATATACCAAAAGCTAAATTACTAAATTTATATTTCATGTTAACTACTTCAATTCCATTTGGCATACAGTTTCATTAAACATGAGCAGTATTTAACAGAAAAGTCTTAAAATATTTACGTGAATATAAATTAGCAGAATTTGAAATTAAAGAATCAGCATCATTTTAAAGTTTATAAAAGTTCTTATGATTTTCAATATTATCTACCTCAAGGTTCATAAAAATTTTATTACATTTTGAATTCACTTATTGCACTCAAATTTTGCTATTTAGATATGGTGCTAGCAAACAAATGTAAAAGTATATCAACCTGCAACCTTTATTCATAGTTGAACTATAATGGATCATGAACAGGTAAAAAGTTTAAAATTAATCATAATTCATAAATATTCTAGCTCCATTTTTGTTAATTTTATAAAATCATCTGCATAATGGATATTTGTTAGTTGTATGGCTTATTTCATTGAATATGTAAGAAATTTAATTTATTCTTTAGTTTTTGTTTCTTGCATTTGCATTCTTTTTCCACCCTGTTTTGGCTGGTTCAATCTTTCTTAACTGTTATAGTCAATGAGTGAGTAATGATCACTGACATTGAATGTTCATGGGCATTCAATAAGAAGTTCTCTTTTGGATTCTTTCGAACTACCCCTTCCTTTTTCATTATTTATTTACTAATTTAACCCTTTGATTTGATCAAGAAGTGTGATCTACACCTGTAGCTTTGTTTCTTTTGTTCTTGGTTGGCAAACAGACTTTATCCACAACATATCTTTCTACACATGATAGAAAGTAAATTCTAAGCATTCATATGAGAAAAAGTATGCATTTTTTACTGTTGAAAACAAATCTTTACCGAAACAATTTCTCTACCTTTATAAAATGGCAATCATGATTTTATTAAAGAATAGTTTCTGTATGTTTTTATAATGTGAGTGATGTGAATAGTACTGTAGAAATCTGTTCTTGCAGATTTCAAAAAATTGCGATTTTATAATCTAGTGATTTTATTAATGGTGGTCACTGTATCACTAGTATTAGAAATTGGAAATATCTCAAAACTAATATATGTATTATGTTTTTTATTTATTTTTAAATTTACTTGTGTTAAAATATTATTGCATTTATTAAAAAGGTGTAAAAAATCTATGTTTTCAAAGCTTATAATTTCAAATTTCTGTGAGTGTAAAGTTTGAGTGTTGTATGTTTTCATTGCAACCCCATTAATTTTAATAATCGTTGGTATTTCTGATGAAAATTTCATTAAAAATGGTGCAAATCAAATTGAAGATGCATTTTAAGTTGTTTCTTTTAAACAGAATTCTTATTTTTACTTATTTGAAGAGTAATATGTTCTTATTGAGATTATTTATTATTTCTTTTCAATAAATATGAACAAGTTCTAATTTATATATCTTGGATGCCATGAACTATAAAAATTAAAATAGCTTACAGTTCATGAAAGTGATAAATAAAATAATTTTTTGATAAAATTATTTTGTTGTTTATGTTTACTTAAAATAAAGTGAAGTTTTATTTTTAGTTTTTTATTATTTTTTAAAATTTTTTATTATTATTTTTTTAAGTAAATAATAGTGCACTAAGCTTCTCCTGTCATTCTTTTTTTATTTATTTATTTATTTATTTTCTTTTTAGTGTTTGGCTTAGTGGTGCTTATTTCAAATGGATTAGAGGCGCTAACTATATTTATGTCTCCTATTACTTGTTTATACCTGGCTAGCACAACTCAAACTATTTTGCGTTTTATTTTTAATGGCCTTCAGATAGCATTTTTTCTATTAAACTCAAAAGTAAGTCATTATAATTTTTCTCAGCTTTCTATTTTAATTCTATACTAGTTATAAAATATAGTCAATTTGTTATAACTATTTACTGAACTATAGCTATTTACTGAAATATTAATGTAGCTTAATTTTTTTTTATGAGCCTGACCTTTTTATCTTTTATTTGATCCAAAGAGGTAACAACTTCTTGTTCTTTCTTTTTGTAATCTATTTACAATAGACTTAACTGTTCAAACCAGGTTGAGTCAGTATGGGAGAAAGAAATATTACCCATGAAACCGTTGTGTTCTTTTGCCCATATTGGTTTCATTGTCCTCATCAATACTGCAAATGTATTCCAGAGGATTGCATTTTAAGTCCACCAAATTCTGGATGAACTTCTTTGTCTTTATCATTTTCTCTAGAGTTTGTATGAAATTATTTCTTATCATGGAAAAAGTCTTAGCAAAAGATAAAAAACTTTTTCTTTTCCAGATTAAATTATTTCATTAAAACTTTCCTTAGCAGTTAAATAATTCTTCTATTAAATTATTCTATTAATGATGTGAACAGAAATTTTACCATGAAAGAGAAAGATATAGCGTTAAAGTATGAATTCCACCGAATACTGTTTCTACCATGGTAAAAGAAAAAGAAATATTTTTAAATGATATTAATTCATGAAGTCTCTGACAAAAAGGATTATTACTATTGTTTTAAAGGAAAAAACTGAAGTTGACCGTCAAGTAATAACAATAAAGTCAGAAACTAAGATTTCCCTTAAGTCATATTTTTTGTTGCTTCTATTAGGTTTAAGTTATCAGAAACTGACATTTTGACTTTTAAATCATGGTGAAGAATTACTAATTTCATTCTTTATTAGTGTGATTTTTTTATTAAATATAACTTTGATAATTGCATGCTCACTGAAATATTTAAACCAAAAAAGTAGATTTAGTCCTCTTATACTACCAAATATTGAAGAATTTTGATTATTCTGTCCCCTAAAGAAAACTATACATTTTTTCTTTTTGTAAACTAAAATGAAATTATGTAAACGGGAACCACCCTAATCAATTTCGTAAACTATTACTAGTTATTAATAAAAAATATGAATACTAGTAAAAATTATTCTGTCTTTATTTATAAAAGATAATGAATCTTAGTTTTAACAGGTTCTGTAATAAGTGCAATGAAATGTTATTTTTGAGGGATTTGCATTATTAAAATTGTTTGTCTTTTTAAAAATGAATTGACAAAAATCAAAAGCTTAGGGTAACAATGATAAATCACACTTTTAAGTTATCTAGGACAGCCTTTTCTAGGAGAGAAAATTCTATGATTTCTAAGATAAGCAATAAGATTTTTCTGTGTATTGTGCTGTTATCTTATGAAAATTTTGAAAACTTGTAACTACATGGGAACAATATTAAGGAACAGTTTGATGTAAAAATGTAGTCTTTGGAGAAATATGTTAATATTATATTAATTCTTTTATTTTAATAATAAAAAATATGTACACATAATGTTTTATTATTAAAATAAAAGAATGAAACTTTGAATCAGTTTTATTCGTTTTGTAAATAGTTTATTTGGAATGAGAAACAAAGCTTAATTAATAAATTTTCTACCATTTTTTGACCTTATATACTACTAAAACATTTAAAAAGAAATACTAACAAGAGCCTTCTTTAGCATTTTTTTAAACCTTTACTCATAAACTATAAAATTTCATTTTAGTTATATTATTAGAAACTGATAAAATTTATTTGTTTGAACAATGAGAAATAATTTAAATAAAATATATATCATAGAAAGTGTCTTGAAAAAAATATTGTTATTTTAAGAATAAAAACATTAAAATGATTAGGATGCTTTCATAATAATCAAGACACTTATAGTGTTGACTTCTGAAATATGGAGCTGAGCTGCAGTTTTATATGTTTCTTCTCTTCTCTGCCTAGATCTGTTTTCAAACTGTGTTGCGTAGTATACAAGCTGGGCTGCAATAAATAAATAAAATAAAAGGTTAAAGAAAATTCAAAGAATTATAATTGAAAGCAAAATCTACAAATTTATAACACTGATAAAAAAAAGTTGATTCTTAACATGTTTTAATGCTAAGCACTATTACATTTTTGCCATCAAAAACTGGTTAAAAATCTGAAATTGTAGTTACAGAAGTTATAATGCATAATGCAGTTTCATTTATGACCTAAAAGTGAGTAATATTTTTTCTTTAAAAATCCAATTTGCTTGAAAGTTTTTGCAATTTTAAGTACATTTTTAAAAATTCTTTTTTTTTTTTTTTTTTTTTTTTTTTTTTTTTTTTTTTTTTTTTTTTTTNTTTTTTTTTTTTTTTTTTTTGCTTTATATGATGATAATTAGTATTCAGTTGTAGAAAAAATATATTTTTCGCTTGAGGTATACATTTTATAAGCTTTTGCTTGACATGATGTCAAAAGTAATAAAAAAATATAGATAAAATTGAGGAAAAAAAGTTAAAAAATTAGATGTTGCCAGATATCAATCTTAACATTTATGAAGTTTTTAAAAATACAAAATATTCAAAAGAAACCATTTAAAATTTCAATTGTTACATAATATATGGTTGTCATTATATATTGAAAACAAGTAAAATTACTTCTTGTGTCACATAATCAGTATTCCTAAGTTTTAAAATTTTTTTTAATTGCAGCTGCTTATTTTACAAATCTTAATCCAAATAATTATTTATTTTGTTACAATTAACATAGTAACAAAATGTTCTTACATAAAATTATTATAATTAAATATTTTAAAAAGAAAATATATTTTTAAGAAAAAATATTAACTTTCAGGTAAAAGACTTAAGATAACCCAGATAGTTTTGTGTGCTATTACAATGACATGAAAAAATAAATTTTCTTTACTGTTATACAGTAATGTGTAGGTTCATTAATTGTGTGGGTAATACTTAGGTATGTTAGTAAATATAGCCAAGCCTCTTCCTCAGACTGCATTTTGGCTGCTGATAATAAAAAAATACTAGAAATCAATTTATTTCTATTTATGGAGAACATTGGTAGCCAAAGTTAGATTTTCCAGTAGGATAATGCCTCCAATTACATTGTTAAATCTTCTAAGTGTTGGTTTTTGCATATAAGGTGCATGTCATGAATGGCCTACCTGAACTATTGAAACTGACCTTTTACCTGGCCTATGGGGATATCCCTAAGAAAATGAGAGAGAGTTGTCTTCAGTAGGACTGTATACATCAAAAAGCAGTTTCAGTTTGTGGTAGAATTAAGGAGCTGTCATAATTTGAACTTTGGATAATATTGATTCAAATATTCTCGAGGGTTTGATAAATAAATACATAACATCATATATTTCAAGTCATATATAAACATGACAGATTTATTAGCTATAATTAGAAGTGTCTCCATTTTGATTTTTTTCCCTTTTCTTTATTTGATGTTCTTTTTCTGTCCAGTTATGGTAAAGAATGAAGGCCGATTTATTTAGTTAGGACGCATTGTATGGTTAACTATTTTTACATGTATTGCATAATTTTATTGCTATAATATTATAAAGGATTTTGTTTATATAGTCTACTACCATTACAACTAGTGTTGATTTGGAAAATAAAGGAGGGTTTACTTAATGCTTAGGTTTATATAAAGTGAAAAATCAAACGTAATCTCACATTAAACAGAGAAGCAATTGTTTTGGTATAACAAAGCATTTCTTCATTGTTTAGCTAACATCAATGAATTTACTATCATTAATTTTCAAATAATTAGTGCAAACTTTGCTTATATATATGCGCACCAGTTTAAATTGTTTTATCTCTGTACTTTACTTTAACTTAGTTTTAAAATGATAAAAAAACATTTAAAAAATGTTTTAATCTAAATAATTTCTTAAAAATGATTGAATGTGCTTGAAAAGAAGAGTTAAAATTTCTTTTTTTATGAAAAAGAAATTTTATCTCCAGAAAGTTTCTTTTTTTATAAAACTTTTTTTATTTATCCTTATTTTGTTATCTTTATAGCTATTAAATTACAATTTTATACCTACTATTAATTATAATATTCTAGATATATCAAATTATGATATATAAAAAATTCTACTTCTTACTAGGAAAAAAATATAAGTAATTTTTTTACATTTATTAAAACTGTTTTAATTCCTATAAGATTTTTTTGTAATGCTGATTTATTTGTTGTTTAGTATTATTTTACTAATTCCTTTCTATCCAACTTGTACTGCATTTTTATGAGTGAACTGTTTTTATCTGCATTAAAGAATAGTTGGAATAACTCTTAGGTTTTTTTTTTATAATGCTGTATTACGAAAAATGCTTTTTTTTCTGCATTCATTTCAATTTTTGGACAAATGTAAAATTAAAAATTCTTTGTTTCATCTTTATTTCTAATTTTATCATTATTTATGTAGGAAATATGGAATATTTTTGGGTGTGTTAGAAACTTAGCGTTTATGCATTTACTGGCTACCAATCTTACTGTGTGGATACGATTATTACTTTGGGAGAGTGCTAAAGATTGGGAATCAGCAGTTCATGTAAAACACAATTCATCCAGGAAGTGGCATCAAAATGAATTAAATATTACCCTTCATTCTTTAGAATCAGATATAAACTCTGTGGATTCCAGTAAACATTCTCCTATTCATACTGTACATTGTAAGTTGATATTTAACTTTTGTTCCAGTAAATATTGTTAAGTGATAAGCAATGCATTTAGAAATTTTTAATATTTAACAATTATCAAGTCTTGTATAATGTAAAATTTCTTTTATTATAGCCTCAGTATAAAATACCACTTCATTTCCAAATATTTTTATACAGGATTTTCAACAGGGTTGCCACTCCACTGGGAGAACAGGGAAAACCTGGAAAATACAGGGAATTTAAAAATAACAGGGAAAATGCAGGGAATTTTGAGTTTTTCTTTAGAAACTGGGAAAATACAGGGAATTTTGTTTCTTATTTTTGTCTTTTAAAAAATGGTGACCACTCAAAGCGTAATCTATGGGATGTTTAAGGATGATTTTTCAGCTATACTAAACTATTTCATTTATCATAGCATTATTTAAGTACGTTCAGCTGTTTTCCCACCGATTAAAACTAATAAATATAGTTAGCCCTATATAGCTAGCACAGTAATTGTTGTTTCCTCTTAATATATTGTGTATAACATGTACAGGGAAAATACAGGGAATTTTGTTTCCAGATTTGAGTGGCAACCCCAATGCCAATACAAATTTTTTTAATTCTTTTCAAAAATGAAATGCTGATACTTGTTAGCTTTTCTGATTCTGGCAAAAGACTTCCATATTTTTTACCTGTTTTATGATCTTTTGATCAAAATCAAAACTCTTTCACTATTTTAAGTTTTTTCTTTTCATACAATTAATTTTTAAGTAAGAGAGAAATTTTTAAAAAAGCACAAATAAAAAAATATTTATTTTTAAAGCTATTGAAGTGCGCTGTTATAATAAAATAATAAGTCATCAAATCTTCCTCATGTTTTCACCTTTTTTTTTTTTTTGCTTGTTACCAGAATAAATCAAGTAGTTCAAGTAGAAAAATTCTGTGTTGCAAATCACACGAGTTACTTAGTGCAAACAAATAATCCTTGTTTCTATTCCACAGAGATGAATTTTTTTTGCTTTTTTAAAATTTTTTATACAGGATGACAATAAATAATGGGGATAAATATTTTCAAAATTTTTTCATTAATCTAAAGAAATTTAAGAAAAATAATAATTGCTTTGACCTTTTCTAAAAACATATTCAAAATTTTTTTAAGTGGTTCCTCGGTGAGTATAGGGCCAAACGTGGCTTATAAAAATGTGAAAAATAAACAATGCAAACACACAATATCCTAGTATTGCCAGTTTATCACACACTTTCCTTCCAACAACATTTAGACAAATTTTCAGATTTTTTTAAAAATGGCCCGTTTGAGTTATGATCATTCAAATGTAGCTCAGGATTAGCTTGCAAAGAGCCTGATTTTCCAACGTATACAGTCTTTGTTTAAAATAAAATTTGCCATAAAACTACTATAAGGACTTTTAGATTGCTGTCTTCACTTATTCAAAAATATAATTATTTAGTACGAAAAAAGGAAACTCTGCCAAAACTTGGTTCTGTTTTTTCTACTTAACATAGATAAAATAAATGTAATTAAAGTTTAAGTTTCATTTAGTATTCAAGTAATGGAAAAAATAATACTGGAATATGTTAAATAGTTTTGATACCGTTACCCAATTAAAAATGTGTCTTCTTCATGTTATTTTTTTTAAAATGAGATTTTTGGTTACTACTGTATCAACAAAATTTTATTTATTACTTGTTCAAAATCTTTTTAGGATATTTCATAACTCTAGCAACCGTAACAACATTTATTTTTTCAAAAAAAAGTCAGTAATAATCACCTGATATATTTTGATAGTAGCTGCTCGAATTGAGATAAAATGACTTGAAAGTTATCACATTCTATTATTCTTAAAAATATAGGAAATAAATATCTTATTGAATTATTAAGTGAAATCGTTGTTTAAATCTTCTTCTTCCTAATCCCCAAAATTAGCTTGACTAAACAATGTCCATGAAATTCATGACCTGGAGGAAGTCGGCTACCAAAAGTGGGTTTTCTAGAATGTCCCTCTTGTCCAGTCCAAGACAGTCCAGTATATGTTGGGAAGAAGCCTGCATGTTGTGGCACCTGGGGCAGTTTGGGAAGATTTTAACACTACCCTCGAAAGAAAGAGACTTAAGGTGGCCGCTGGTAAGCGCTGTTTGATCCTTGCTGTTGCACCGAATGTTGAGTGCACCTCCTGGACGGGTGCTCTGGTACCAGTGATGTTTGGGGGGTACGAGCATGGAATCATTGTCTTCTTTTTCGATGCCAGTTCCATGAAGGTGAGTGAATTTGGACTCATCAAAGTACCTTCTGTCCCCTCCTTAGCCAGAGTGTCGGCGATATCATTGCCCAGAACCCCAACGTTAGAAGGGATCCACTGGAGGTGGACTTCACGCAGTCGTGAGAGGATTTTAAGTTTGTGCAGGATTGAAGCACCTGTTTTGTCTCTCACCTTCCTCCAATGCGATAAGTACTGTATGGAACTGAGACTGTCAGAGTATCCAGATATTATTGTGATCCTGTAGCGTTAGAAGTGATTCCAGGGCAGTATCAATAGCAATGAGTTCACTTCTAAAAACTGACCAGTAATCAGGATTCCTTTTGGTGATGTTAAAGGAGTAATTAATTGATTTAATGTAGACACTACTGCCAGATGATGATGTGTCCATCTTGCTTCCGTCTGTGTACACCAGTATTGAGTGTTTGGGGATAGTATTTATAACCTCCAAAGCAAGTTGTTTAAGCATCACCAGGTGATCCAATTTCTTGTTAACTTGTGATGAAAGGTGTTGGTGGAAATAAACCCCAGGAAGTCCTTCAGTTGGGTCAATGAATTGTTTATTAAGGCAATCCTCAACATTTCCAGCAAGAACTTTGTTAACTACAACCTGGCTAAATGGGCTATTCTTCTTTAGTCTTTGGTTGCTGCTCCACCTTTGTAGATAATCTGCTGTTCTGTTTTGGTGTCCGAGGCTAGAGCTTATTAAAGTATTTAGTTAGGAAATAATTTCTTCTGAGGCCTAAAGGCTAGAGGTCGGCCTCAAACAAGATAATGTCATTTGGGCAACTGTTTCTGAGTTCAGTAATAGTGCAAGCAGCAGAAAGCTGGACTCATTCAAGAAGTTGAAGGTTTGAAGCAGATGCACAACTATAGACTGGTGCTCCATATTCCAGGATTGGCCTGATGAGAGCAAGATATGCGGCTCTTAAGGTGGTAGCGTCAGCACCCCAATCTCACCCAGCAATATACTTTAAGATTTCTCTTCCTATTTTTCAACACTAAGTTGTTGATATGCTTATTGTTGGTGAGTTCAGGATCTAGAAAGAAGCCCAAGTAACTGGGGTGTTTTTCAACAAGTAGAGTTTGACCATACAGGGGGATATTGGGTTGAAATCTGTAGAGTCGTTTGTTAGTAGTGACGAAACTAATAGATGATTTTGAATGATTAAAGGTTAATTTGTTACTCTTTGCAAATTCTTGAATTTCCATTAAAGTTAGATTAAGGTTATTTTCGATATTGCTGACATCTGAATCAGAGCACCATAAGACAATGTCGTCAGAGAATAGTCCTACCTCACATCACTTCGAAATGACCCTCTCAATGCCGGCCAGAAACTAACAAAACAGAGTTGGACTCAGGGTGGATTCTTGTGGAAGTCCCTGCTTCTGTGTAGAGGTGTCAGATAAAACATTGTTGAACTTAACGTTAAAAAGTCTGTATTTCAAGAAATCATTAATCCATGGCAAGGCAAATCCATCAATTTTGAAGAAAGTAAAGAGTTTGACAATAAGTTTTTGTTTCCAAACTCTATCAAATGCCTTAGTCAAGTCCAAAAAGGCAGCTCCAGTATGTTTAGTGGGCCGGTGATTATGGGCATCACATATTCGCTGTCCAAAGAATAGTACGTGATCTGTAGTACTGTGTCCTGTCCTAAAGCCGTATTGTTCCTTCGGAAGTAAGTTATGCCTCTCAGGAAAAAAGACGAGTCGATTTAAAATCATCCTTTCCATAATCTTGCAAGCAGTGCTGGTGAGTGCAATTGGCCTATAACTATCGGGAGAGCTAGCTTCTGTGTTGGGTTTTCTGATCAGAATGATGATTGCTCTTTTCCACTCATTGGGAAGGCGACCTAGTCGCCAAGATTGATTTATGATGTCTAGGAATCTACTCAAAAACTTCTTACTCAGATGTTTTAACATTTGACCTTGGATGCCTTCCGGTCCCGGGGACTTGTTAAGATTTGCTCCATTCATTGCACTCGTCAATTAGTGCAAATTAAAGTTACTTGTGAAGATTGTGTTTCTTGTTGAAGAGGTGCGACAACCATGTAAAACGTTTTTGGCCTTATTTTTGACCTTTGAATCCTCCTTGGAAAAATTCAAGGTGCTTGCATCCCGATAAAATAAACCTAATAGGTTAGCAGCCGATTTGTCGTCTTGTGCAAAATTACTATTTTCGTCAACAATGGTGTTAAATTTTTCGCGTTGCTGTTGTTCCTTATTGAGGCTCTTAAAAATTTTCCAAAGTTTAGTGCCAGATGATCTTGAGTCAAACTTGGAGCAAAGTTGCAACCATTTCAATCTTTTGTTTCCAGCAGAAGATCTTCTGATGTCTGCATTGACCCTGTTTAGCTCAATTCTAGAATGAACATTAGTAGAGTTGGTCAGCTCTGTGATCAGTTAATTCCTCTTGTCCAACAGTGGCTTTAACTGAGGGGAATTATGATTGAAAAATGGAATATAATTCTTCACGTTACCTCTTGGAATTGTCCTACGAGCTGTCTGTAATATGGCATATTTGAAAGATTTCCAATTGCAATTTATATCCTCTTCAAGCTGTGTGGTTGTTTCATTATCTAGCTTTGTAGTGAAACTGCTCCAATCAGCTTTTTTGAAATTCCAATACCTTCTGCTTGTTTTTTGTAGTCATTGGCGCTTGCAGAGTTCAATCAGAATAGGTAGATGGTCACTACCAATGTTCTCCAACACTGACCATTTGCAGCCAGGAGAAATATCAGGAGTAACTAAGGCTATGTCAAGTGCCTTGAAATTGTTGTAACTGTAAGAGAAGTGCGTTGTGGATCCATCATTGAGTAAAGTAAAGCCGCTATCATCCAGTAAGTTTAGGAGGGTTATTACCTCTCTGATTTTGATCTGACCAACTCCAAATTTGGTGCTTTGCGTTAAGATCCCCAATGAAAATAGTGTTATCAACAAAGCCATCACAAAAATTAGTTGGAAGATCTTTGTTATTTGGATGATAAAGATTGATAATGTTAAGCAACTTACCTCTCTAAGCCACCTGGATTCCCTGTGTCTCAAGGTCAGAATTGTTCCCAATGAGCTATTGATGTCTAAGCTCCTATAATTAATGTCTCTGATGAGAAACGCAAGGCCACTTCCATTGCCTTGTCTATCACAAAGGGAGATGTTATATCCCTTTACTTTAAGTTACACATTGTTATTTAATTTGGTTTCTTGGAGGGCAACAATCTGTACCCCATGAGTGTTTGCAAGTTCCAACACCTGATCTAGTTTGACTTTTGAGGCTGTGGTTGCGATCCCATTGATGTTTCATTGAAGGATTTTCAGAGTTCCATTGGAAGTACTTGAGGAAGGTAGTATATTTTTCGAGCGTGGTCCACTTCCAAATCAACAAACGCGATCCTTTTTATCCTGCACGACGATCGAAGCAGTATGAGAGTTAGAACAAGACATGAAATTCATAGTTGGGGTAATAATGCAGCTTCTGAAGTTCTATGACTGGAGCACTATGCTGGCAGAAGTCTGACTTGGCTCCTTCGCCTGTTGAATTTAGCTGAGTGTAATGGAACGGCCTTCTCGCCAAGGGTGACCTTTCCAGGAGTAAAACTCCAGACGTACATCACCCGTTCCACCCCTTCGCCACGATGAGGCAGCCAACAGGACTTGAGGGGGTCCATTCTTGATAATGTAGCTCAAAAATTTTCATAACTGGATTAAAAAAAAGCTATGATTTATACCGTAAAATATAAACAAATCTTTAATTTTTGCATCACAATTAACTTTTTCATACTTTTATATACTATTTTCTCCTATTTTAGATACTTACAACTGCTACTGGAGAGTTAAAAATTCTGATGAAATGGATGTTATATCAGTTCAAAGTTGTCTTGAGAATTCTACTGTTGGATATGCCTGGTCCAAAACAACTGAATTTTTATATCCAATTATATCTCAATATTATTTCATAATTTTGTGTATTATATATATTATATGGATTAATGGCGATTCAAATCACATTGATAATTATTGCTTTACTTCACCTAAAAAGAGCAGGAATGAGTCTGTATGTAGCCGATCTACTAAAGGTCTCTTCCTTGGGTTAATAATTTTGGCTGTGTGTGTTATAATATCTATAGTATTTTTTTCAGTATCTACTGATTTAAGATTTTCTCTTAGAATTTTGTATTGTGTAATTTTTGGTTCATCATCATTTTCTGCTTTCATGGGAACAATACAATCCTGTAAAATGAAAGCCAGAAACTTTTCTGATACTTATTACAATGGCTTTCTACAAAATTCTGGTCTATTAGCTGTTTACATCTATGGATCTTGTAATGTGTTGGCTGGTGCTATTTCAGATGAGGAAATGAGCTTTGTGCTCATCATTGAAGCAGTTTTCATGGTGGTTCATGCTTCTATTCAAAACATATTCATTACTCAAATTTCTCAAAAGAAAGTTGATCAGTCTAACTACAATGAAAAGCCTGCTAGACAGTCAGTCATGTTTCTCTTTCTTTGTAATATTTCTTTATGGATTGCTGAGTGTGTTATATCCTGGACTATAGTAAAAAGAGATCTTCAGTTGTACACTTTTGGTAATATAGCTTGGCCTCTTATAACTCGAATGGTATACCCAGTTCTTGTGTTTTATCGGTATCATTCAGCTGTCCTACTTTATAAAATTTGGAAAAAATCCTATTCATAAATTTTAACATTTTGATTTAAATGCAAGTAGCTGATTTATTTCATAAGTAAAATCAGCTTTATGTACCGTGAAATTGCAGTTGAATTTGAATGCTTTTTCACTGAAGAATTGAAGTTCAACGAATTAAAACATAAATGTTGTATGATAATGGTGCCTTATTAGCATTTTTAGCTTTCTTTTCTGAGTATCAATATTGAATGATATTTTCTCAAGAATTCTTATATTTTGTGAGAGTAACTATTTATGCAAAAAAAATTTATTATTTTTTTATAATGCAAAATTTATGTGGAAATATTGTAAAAACTTTTTTAAAAGTTAACTAAAAAATTGAAAATATTTTAAAGTTTAGTCTGTTGAAAATTATTCGCTAGCATAAGTATTTGACTACAACATTGACTACACTATTATACTTCATTCAAGTTTTATTAAAATTTAATGCAAGTTGTAATTTTTTTTTACTTTATTGTAATAGCCTTGAACATGAATGGTCTCTTAAATAAATATCTTTTGCACACGTTTAATTTTTTACACAAAAAAGTGCACAGCATTTTAGTTTATGTTTCTTGGTGAAAAAATACTTTTAAAATGGTTTTATCAAAGGGTTTAGATCTGATTTTTTTTTGCATTGTTTTGTTCATTCAGTTTTATAATGATCTGGTTTTTTTGTTAGGTTTTCCTCCCTTCTATATAGGACTCGGAGAAAAAGTTCAAAACTTAATTTTTTTTATTAAAATCTATTTTTAAATTATCTTCATTTTATAATTAAGTAAATTAATTTTTTATTAATCTCAGTTTTTTTTCCAATTTGAATGGCTGAAATCATTTCCTCTCATTAACGAAATTAAAATGTATTGTAATATAAGTTAATATATAATTTTCAACATATTTTATGTGGCATATTGTAATCTTGTATTATTAAAGTCCATGTTAGTCTTTGTATTTTAGATTTCTTTTATAAACTAGTTTACATTTACAATTATGTAGCTTTCAAACTTCATTTACACTACAAATACTTAGTCTTGAGTATATTTTTAAAGTGTAACTTAAAAAATCACTTAAATTTTTTAATTTCTCTTGCTAATTTGTTGTTTAATAGTTAGTTTTTTTTCTCTTTAAGTCTTTTCTCTCTCTCCAAAGTGGTCCTTTAATTTTGTGCTATTTTTATCAGTTTGATGTATTTTTTTTTATCTGATAGTGGTACAAATGCTTTAATTTAGTTCATTTTATATTTAAGTATTTTGAATTAAATGTCCTATTATATTGGTGCTTTACAATTTACACTTTTATTTTATGTATATTAAATTTTTGTGATGTTTTTATTTTATAAACTTGTTTATTTTTATGTTTTACTTAATTTGGTATTATACTCTTCTTTATTTCCAAATTGATGGTTTTATATTGGTTAAATGTGTGAGTGTTACCTTTTCTTAAAAAAATTCTCAAAATTGGTTATTTGAAACATGAGTATAGTAAACAACTATTTTACAACCTTTGATTTTATGACTTAATTGTTTTTTCAAGTTATTAATTATTTGAAAAGTTTATTTTAAGTATTAGAGAAACAGTATTTCTTTAAAAATTAAATAATTTCCAGTTCACATCATTGTTTAAATTTATTTATTTCATATTGAACTGTGTTGCAAGCTGTAGTGTGGTTTCAAAGTTAATAATTTTTTTCTACTTGAAATTGGGATAAATTTCCTTTTAACAAATGAAACTATAGTATATTTTTTGATCATGTAAGAGTTCAGATTCTACATTGAAGAATAATGATTGAATTTACTTTAGCTTGTAGAAACAGCTATATAATGATGGCATTTTATTAATACCTTTACGTAATATGTGTATAGAATAAAATTTATTTGTTACTAAATATTGATATATATTTATATATATATGCTTTTAATATTTTTGATGTTGGGGAAAATTTAGGAAAGATACTTTTTAATCTTTTTTCTTTTTAAATTTTTTTTGGCAAGTCTTTCATTCTATTTTCTTGCAAAACTGCTAAAAGTATTATATCATAGTATTTTTTTTTCTTCTTATTGTTGATTTCACTTTTTACACAATAAATAATTTGAAAGGACTATCGTTGCAGTGAAATTAATATTGGTTCTTACTTTATTTTCATTGTTGTATGATTTACAGATTCAAATTAGTGAAGTATCATTTTTAAAATTAAATTCAATTGCTATCAACGAGTTCATAATGAATGTGTTTTCAATGGAGATAAAATACATAATTTGATATCCATTAACTTAGATATGTAAATCAAACCTTATAAGGCTATAAAGGCTATCTTTTCATCAATTGCAATTTTAATTTTTTCATAGTTTTGTTATCCAGGCCATACATGTAATCAACATATTTGAAATTGTTTTAACTGAAGTGAAAATGAAACAAGTGTTGATTTTAAACTTTTATTCCCGGTGTGATTTCAGCGTTGGAGTAAAATTATGTATTGATTCTCTTTCATGAGTTTTATTCTATTGTTTGTTTTAAATGTTAAGCAGCATGTAGACTGTTACAAATGTTGGCTCCCAATTCAGCTCTTGTTGGAATTATATTACTTTCCAATATGACTAATTGTTATCTTTTTCTTCCTTTTGTACAAAAATACCTATAGCTGTACAGCTAGAGGAGTTATCTATTTTTCAGGGATCAAAGTAACCTAAATATTTGGCAAGATATTTTCTTTAAACTATTAAAATTTTTTATCCTATAATTGTTTTTTTAAGAAAATATATTACTGTTACAACATTTGTCTAAACAATTTTATATTGAATATATATGTATGTTTTTGCTATTATTTTTATAATGCTCTTTTCAACCAAATTTATCTGCATTCTTGTTACAATGTTGAACATATTTTTATTATAGTATATTGTTAAGGGAAATATTTAAATGTTTAAGTACAAGATGTGGAACTTGTGCCATATAACTATTTTGTAACTGATTGTATGCTTTTTTTTAAATAAATATCACTTAAGGTCTCTGTACATTGATATCATTTCATTAACAATTTTTTTAAATTTTAACATTTAGGATCAAACACATTTTACTTAGCATGCTATTGTGTGTGTTGTTTTTACCTGTGAGTAATGGTACTGACTTCATGCATTAAGCTAGATGATGAGAGTAGTGTTTTCAAGTGCAGTAATCTAATGGTAGTGAGTTTATATAATTGTATTTTGGTATTCTTTTTAGCTTAATTGTCTCATTTAGATCATACCTTGAACATTTGGATCTCATTGCTCATCTAAGTTTTTGGATCACTATTTTGTCAAGGCTCTTATCTCATCAGTGGCAATTAATATTTCCTTTTGTTTCATTTTAAGCTGTAATTTTCCTAAAATCTATAACATAGAATTCTTGTTTAACTTTCTAGTTCTGTTTGTCAAAAATACAATTTTTAAAATACTATCTTAAGATTTTAATGAACTTAGCTTAACTCTTGTCTTTTTTTTCCAAACATTTCTGAAGGTTATTTGCTAATAGTTTTCAGAACTGATCAATAAGTAAATAAATAAAAAATTAAAAAAGAAATCAGCTCTAAAAGTTTATTTTTTAGGAAATTAATATTAAAATCAAATCCTACTTCTAACGTTTGTTAACTAAATGGTATTTATAAAATTCAAGTTAATAATTTAAAGTTTAAGGAAGATGGTAAATACAGGGTGTCTCAGTTAAGCGTTTCAGAACTTCTGAGAGGGGTAGGGGGCATCCTGACGACTCGAAATCATATAGCAATGTGGGGTCGGAAATGCTTTCCTAAAGCAGTGAATTACATAGAAGCACCATAAAAAAAAGAGACCTTTAATTGAAAAATCGCTATAATAATACATTGAAAAAATTATATGGCCTNTTGCAACAGCTCCTCAGTATTGTCTATAGGGGTGTCATAAACCAGTGTTTTCATATGACCCCAGAAATAAAAATCAAGACATGATATGTCGGGTGACTGAGGAGGCCAACTCACTGGAAAGCTCGTTTGGAACTTACGAACAGCGCCATCTACCGCGTCAGGAAAGCATTGCTATATGATTTCGAGTCGTCAGGATGTCCCCTACCCCCCTTTGAAGTTCTGAAACGCTTAACTGAGACACCCTGTATATTGCATTTGTTAATCAAGTTGTAGTTAGGTCATCGTTATTATATTAATTAGTATAAAATTATTAATTTGGTGAAATATTTGTTTTGGATATTCTAGAATAAACTTTTTTTTATTCAAAATAATATGAGGATAACTGCTTAGGCAGTTAAAAATTCTTCAATGGAAAATTTTTTGGGTGGGTGTTGCTGAATTAAAATAAAATGTAGTATAACATAATTGGGATTTTCGATTTCAATCTAGGACCATTACACCTGAAATTAAGAATGTTCAAATTATTAAAATAAAGATGTGCCAGTGAAAAGAAAGTAAATTTGCACAAACAATTGAATTACAAGCAAATTTTGACAATGTTAATCAATGCAAATTAAAAGTGCTTTGTATAATTTTGCTTGAAAGTTCTACATTCATATTGAGGGTAATATAATACATATGAAATAATAATAAAAGATGAATGGTTTCCTTAAACCTATGGATTTTGTAAGCAAAAAGTTAATAAAGGAGGGTGATTGGGTTACTTAACCACTGAATACAAATTTGAGTCAACATTCTGTTTACCTAAAAAAAAAAAGAGTTTCAAAAATATTAAGAGTTTCTAGAACAATGGTAACAAATTTTAGTTTTCTCCTGCAAATAAATCAATTGTGATAAATCTATTTTATAAATAATTGATATTTAAAATCAATTACTAATTAATATTTCATTATATTAAATATTAATAAATGTTTGTTTTTAGCAAATAATTACTCATTAGTACAATTTTTTTATTTCAATATGAATGTAATTTGCATCTTTTGTTAAATTTACTTTATTTTATAATTCGCCATTAAATCAATAAAATAAGCATTTCATGTTTAAAACTAGTCCATTGTTGTGTGAGTAAAGAAATTTTTTTTTAACTATGCCAAAATAAAAAAAAAACTACTAAAGCAATTCTTAACACTAGATTGCATAAAGAAATCATTTTGACTGCTTTTAATTTCAATTAGAAAAACAATGATGTATATAATGACACAATTTCTTAGAATTTTATACAGCATATAATTTTTTTTATTGTTAATATTTACTAATAACTTGTTATAGAACTGTAAATAATTTAAAAAATATTAAAAATTAATTTTAAACAAATTTCTTTACGCATTATTTATTCTTTCACAATCCAGTCATTTTGACTGCTTTTGGGCAATATAGGTATATACTAAGTTTGTCTTTCTAGTGTTAACTATTTTTTTTAATTTCATCTGAGAAAAGTAAATTTATTTACTGCCATGATACTTTTCAATGAAGTAGTTTTATCCTTTATTAATACATAAATTTTTTATTTAATTTTCATAAAGAAATACTGCTAATGTGTTTTTATTAAGGCAGAACAAAAATTGGGGTTATTAAAACCTGTGGACAATTGAAACATGCAGTGAAATATAATAAAAATTTTTAAACAAGGAAGAGCACAGGTTTATCAAAAATTTGAATTTAGCTCTAAAAACATAATGATATTGCACCGTTAATTATTTTTAGTCTTTTTACTCTTAAAAGTATAATCTTTACTGTTGCAAATGAAAAAATAGCATTTTGTTTCAATTGTTTCCCTCAGGTGAAAAAATTTCCCTCTCCTGATGTTCCTTCATCAGTAATTCTTTAACATACAAAGTTCCATAAAGACCACTTGATATACATTTTTAAAAATGAAAACATACTTTACAAATGGAGGTTTACGAACTAGTATTCAAGTGAGAAAAAAACAAAGAAGCTTTCGAAATTTGGCTGATTACAGAAGAAAACAAATGTAATTAACACCAGAACAAGTTTATTTAGAGGTTGAAAGTTGAAGATGTTTCTGATAATCCTCCTTCAACTCCTCTCTGTTTCTTCCTGCAGTCTAACTTACCTTATTATTTTCTATGTTCACCTTCATGTGCTGTAATTTGTTTGATTTTGGTAGTGTTTTTGTTTTTCGCTCTCAAGTATCAATTTGAGAATGCGATGTAACTACTTATTTGTTTTTATTTTTGAAAAGATTCTAAAAATATAAATTATTCTTTATGGAACTCCTTGTTTGTATCACAAAAATGTGGAATCCCAATTAACTTTTGATAAAATAATCAGAATTTTACCTATTAATATACAAATTTCATGGTTTGGAGGCCTCACTTGTGATAGTTTTTTATGTGAAAAAATGTCTACGGCTAGTTAAGGGTTACATAGGTTTTGAAGGAAAAAGAAATATTTGTTTCGTTATTTTTTTAACTATCGTAAAGAGTTATTTTGTTCAAACTTTAAACATATAAAGGAACGATATGTTGTAAAATTTTTCTGAAATTTTTTTTTTCAAAATGTATCTGTTAAGAACTGATTTTCGAAGACCCTCTTAAAAAAATTATTCTCTCAAACGACGCAATTTCTTAAGAAAAAAAAAAAAAACTGCACCAGTTATTGAAATTTTAACACAACTCTTCTTAGAAAGAATTGGCTCGTGATTGAACAGAAGATTGAAAAAAAGCAAATTTTTTGCTAAGTTGTAAAAAAGTTATTTTCATTAAAATATCTCTTTTAATGAAATACAGCATATCTGAAACCATTTAGGACGGCAAATTGGACATCCCTTCTAGTTAAATTAATTAGCGCTGTGTTTACATCAACTGTGGAACGAGATGCCGTTGGACATCAGAAAGGACTTGTATGCCTCATTGTCCAACTGTATCGCAAACCGGATTTGCACCAAAGAGTACTAAAACCTCCAATCATTTCTATTTTTTCCTGGTATAAATGATAATTTTACTTATATATTTTAATCATTAACTATTATAAACTTTGAACTTACGAGTGTAAAATTTCATTTCATTCTGACAACTCTTTTTAGGTGCGCTAATATTTATGGCAATGAGTGTAGTTTAAGTTTTATAAACTTATCTATAAAGCACACACAATATTATATTTAGTTGTATGATCCTAAACTTGACTGATGGCATAAAAGTTAACAATAAAAGCAGTGTTGCTTAAATTAGATCAACGTTCAAAAATTACCCGACAAAATAGATTATTTTTTTGCTGATTGTTGTGCGTATACCTGCCTATGATATAAGACTAAATTAAGAAAAAAAAATTAAGACGTAGGTTAAATAAGGATTACGTTACTTCACTATTGTGGTGGCTCGAACCTTGAAAAGAGAATAGCTTAAAAAATTATTTTTGTTAAATTCTTTTCTCTTAAAAAGAATTTATTGGCCATTTAAAATTTCAACAATTCAATGTTTATTATTAATTTAAATTTCATGACATAAAAGCTTTGATCTCGGTTGCCCCAGTTTTCGTTTTTTTAAACTATAGTAGGTATAATTTTTTCAAACTATAACTAATGTTCCTCTTTATCGATTTTAAATAAAAGGTTTTGAATAACATGGTTGCCTACACATGCTTTTAAAACAACAAAAAGATTTTTTTAAGAGAAGCAGTTGGAGCATCATAAGTTAAATAAACACTACGATTTAATATTATTTCCTTATAATTAATATTATTTTGAAAGAAGTTTTCTTCACTTCCTGGCAAACTAAATAATCGTGAACTTCAACAATGAACTAGTTATGTCCCGAGTGAAAATTAGGAGCAACTGTGAAGAGCCTAATTCAATAAAATTGTGTGCTTGTAGAAAGGTAGAAAAAAAGGCCGTTTTACCCTTGCAATTTATCACGTGATCTTAAATTAGTTTTATAAAGGCCACTTACAAAAAAGAAGAGGCAATTTTTCAAAGCTATGTCTCCGTTATTATTTCTGTCGACTTCAAATTCCTCAATGGTCATAACATGTTGTGATGTGCTAAGTATGTATTATTCAATTTTTTTTTTGATTTCACAATAATGAATACTTTTATTGCTTGTTATTAGTAGCTAA